GATTTTGTTAACTCATCTATTAAATTAACAAGCATATTTTCATATCCACCCATAATAAAATAATCCTTTTCTTGATAATTCAATGTTAATGCATTCTTTGATTTTTTACTAATGTCTTCATTAGTTATTGCCGTCAATTGAAATATATATAGACAAGATTAAATTTTAAATAAGCAAAAAACGATTAAACGTTTTGAATAAATTTACCAGAATATTTAAATTTTTCTCTGCCGAAATTCACTTCTACTGACCCCCCTTGCGATCTAAATCCAATACAAGGATATAGAAAACCTTTGAAATCGCTATGTAAATGGCACGCAATTCCTTAAAATATTTTATAATTATTAAATTTCTGTTTATTCATTTTAAAACATAACCTTTTAATTCTAAATGTTGATTACCTAAGTTGACTCCATTTTTAGTATAAAATACTATATTACTTCTAACATCCAATTATATCACCAGTAGTATATCCAGCGGTATATTCATCATACCCATCATATGCATCACGTGGTAAATCATATGGCTCGCCACTTCCCGAACAAAAAGAATATCCGTCGTCACCATGGTAACCACACCCCCATGATTCATTTTCCTGTCCTAAAAGATATGATATAGACGTTAGTCTATAATAATAAGAAAATAAAATAAAAATTTGCTATTACCAGGCATGAGCATATTATTTATATAATTTGAATCGTCAATTTTTTTATCGCTTTGCTTTGTACAATATCCAATTCCAATCATTCTATTAAGAAAATAGAATTAAAAGATTATAAAAAATCACCAGAACAAAGGTGATACCTATGGTACGAAATAAATATTAATATTACCCATTTTTTCCTTTGTTTAAAATATATTAACGAACACAATGTACTATTTATGTATACGTAGTTGTATTCTGTACTACAAGATAAACGATAACTGATAAGTATATTCATAGCTTAATCTTATTGATATCGATATATTTGAGTTTGTGTAATCCTTTTTAAGTCTGCGAATAACTACGAATAGATGTGGATAACTGCTGAACTGCGAATAAGGATTTGTTTTACGTAATACTGTAATATATATATAGTTATTTAATGCGAAGTAGACAATAACATGAATCATTGTACGGTGTGTAAAGCTGTATTATGTAATTATAAGTCAAATAATACGTACAAATAATGTAATGATTTTCGACCGCCCATTAACAACGAAGCTTCAGAAAAGCGGTCAGGAGAAGAACTCCGAAGTTTTTAATTAAAAAATGGAACTAAAAATAGCAAACTAATTAGTTTATATAATCAAAATCACATTTTATTTCGGAACTATATATTAAATATGTAAAAAAAAACCTCTAAGAAATGATTGGGTTCGAACGTGTCTTGAAAACGAATTCAGGTTAGATCTTTAAATGGGTTATGGCAATTCAATATATATTCAATAGAATAGATAGCTGAGAATAATTAAATGTTAAATGTGCCATTATATTGAGTTTATATAGATAATAACGTGAATGCCAACCAATCAAATTTCGAGATTGATTTCGATTGTATCAAAACGCCATTTTCAAAATAAGATACTTCAAAGGTTTTTGACGTAAAGGAAGATGGTATGTAAATATGAAATAGCAAAAATTTTTATTATAATAAAGAATACTGGTTATATAAATGTTAGCTTAGAGTGAAAACTGTCTTTTTTCACAAAATCTATAGATTGTCAAATTTTATATGTGCTGCAACTTGCAGATTGACCGATTAACGAATTTAAACCTAAATTGATGTACGTGAAGTTACACGAAACTGATGTACGAAAATCATTTCCCTATCAGCTATAATATAGGCAGACTTTCTCGTGATTGGTCAATTTTATTCAATTGAATTTATACAGTTTAGAGTACTTTTACAACCCCTAATAGTAAATTTTTTTTTTTTCAAACTAAGAACCGGTTAAAATATTTACAAAGACTCTTCGCAAAGAAAGCTTTAAGTATCTTGTGTATCTCTAGGATTCACCACATTTAAGTATACCTCATTAAGAAATGGATTTCAGTCTTGAAGAACAAGAATGTGCAGTAATCGTGTGTGCTGGAGTTTCTAATCAGCCCATAAAAAAGGTTACCGACTTTGTTTTAGAAAAGGCTCAGCAAAATAAAACTTTACCAGCTTATTTAAAAGTCGGCGATATGATATGTCAGTGGTGCTACAATGAAATAATCGTTCGACCTTCGGCTATGATGAAAGAGCATGCGCAAACAATGATTAACACTCAAGTTGCAGGTATTGAAGATGATTTAGATGCAATGGTCGACACTCAGGATGATATTTCGGAGGTAATGTCTTTTTCAAATGCAATTAAATTTATTACTGATGTTTTATATCGGCGTGAAGTTACTCAAAAATTGCCAGCGTTTCGAACATTTGAAGAATTTCGTACTTGCATGGAAGCTGAAAATAGGCATTTGGAAACTTTTTTTGATGAACTCGTATTATCGGTAAATTTGTCAAAAAAAAGGAATGAATCACATCCTAAAATTATATCCCAATTGTTACTCGTTTGTTATATTCTTTGTGGTATTCGTAACAAATTTATTATTAATGTAAAGCGTGATCTAGCTCTTTATCTTGATTCTACAGGTACAGGTGATTCAACCATCAATGCTTTAGCGGAACTCGGTATAACATCAACGTCGAAGACAGTTTGGCGTAAAAAAAAAGAAATTTCAAAGAACCACATAGATACAATAAACAACAATTTAGAGAAATACCATGAAACTTCTATGGTTTTAAATGTAGACGATTATCATAATATACATACAAATCGTGTCCCAAAGGGTAATGAAACATCAACACCAACTCACATGGCAACAATTCTTCTGAATCCAATAAATGCAACATTACCAATTCCTATTAACTTTAACGGCATAAGCATTCATAATCCAAAGCTTGTCGATGCTGACTGCTTAAAGAGAATAGATTTATGTCATTATTAGGATTATCTTTTAATGAACGATGGAAATGTCAGGTAAGTGAAAACGAGGAAGAAACTATTGAAGCATTAACGATTCATAGTTATAATCTTCGGCTTAAAGAAAGGATGAACGATCGATCATTAAATAATATCATTCTCATCGACCTTATAAAAAATAATTTGCATACCATTAATGATTATTTGGAAAGTTTGTCTATTATTAGGAAAGTAGATACTATGCGAAAATATTTCGATTCTGGTTATATTATACCTCTTGTGGCTGATTGGCCTGGCCAAATATTTATAAGAAGTGCGATATCATGGTTTTTAATATACGGTGACAGGTTTAATATTTCTCAAGACGTGTTATCATTTATTCCTATCATCGGACCATTATATATATCCTTAAACAGCCGTAAGCTTGTTTATAAGCAGTATCACCCATTTTTTTCTTTATTATATAATTCTTTATTTGATAAAACAAGAGAGCTTGGAGTTAACATTCAACCCTGGAAGATTAATTTGCTTCTCGAGATGACTCGTCGTGGCTGGCTTCGAATTTCGGAAATTGTTAAGAAAAAATTTGGCCTATGTGAAGATCTTGAATACCTTGCATTAAAGGACTTGTTGGATAATTTAATTCCACTTGTTCTTGATATATATGCACTTTTTTTTCGTGCAGGCGAATGGGAAGAATATGAAGAATCAGTAATACGGGTTTGGACACTTTTTTTATGGTTTTCTCGTCATAATTATAATAAGGCGCCACTAATGTTTTTATCTGATATTTCATATTGGAGAAATATTAACCATCCTATTTTAGAAATTTTAAAAGCACATTTGCCAAAATTTTTGGATGCCCCCGTTGAATTATTTCATAGCCTTCTGAGACGAACTACTCAAAAGCATGATGCTGCAGATCACTTACAGTGTCAAACGCATTTTATTAATTTTTTGAGATGTGAAAAACGTCTCAAAGAGTTATTTGAGCATCAATCGACGTGGAAAAAATATCCTTTAAGTCACAGAGATTTGAATAGCTGTACACAAAAAGCAGCTTGTTTTTTATTAGAGCGTTTTATTAACATTTACAATCGAATTGCTACAGACGACGTAATGGGTCTAAATTCAAACAAACCAGAAATATTAACCCAAGAAAAAAAAAAGAGAAAAATCATGAATGGACCCAATATATCTATGCTAGCTATTAGAATTATTGCAAATACTTGTCATCTTCCTTTGGGCTTTAGCACTTTGCAAAAGCCTAACCAATTAATTTTGTGTGATTATTTGTTATGTACTAAAGTAGATATACATGTATTTACTAATCTCTTATCTCCTAATTTAAAAATACTAGCCTGCGGTCACAAATATCATGTAGAATGTTTGAACGAAGTTAATCAGAAATGTCCACCCTGCTTACAATTTTCACAGAACGGGATAAAGACAAATGTGGATCAGTTACTAGAACGTTTGTTAGATTTGGATGATAAAAAGAAGACGAAAAATAAAAAGAAAGCAGAAGATGTTCAGGCTCAAGAAAGTAGAGCAAAAGAACTCGAAACAGAAGAACTTGAAAACGAAATGGCTGAAGACAATGAACTTATCATCTCTAATAGTATTGGAAAAACAGAACTTGATGATTTATTGCAAAAGCTCCAAGGTCTACAATAAACAATTGTAAATAAAAAAATTGTAAATAAAAAAATTGTAAATAAAAAAAATTGTAAATAAAAAAAATTGTAAATAAAAAATTTTTTGTTTGTAAATAAAATTTTATTTTTTTTTAAAAAAAAAAATTAATTTACGATACTATAAATTCGAATTTACGATCTGTATAATCTGACCAATTATGGCGAGTTATTTTAATTTCACTGATCGACCAATCACGAGAAAGTCTTCCTATATTCAGCTATATCAGTCACACGATTTGTCACACTATGTCACATGTAAATTTAAAATTACTATGAACTTTGCAGCCATGATGTTTTTCGATCTACATATTAACTTAAAATTAAATTCTACAATTATTTAGAGCATGAAAAGAAAAAATTTTTTTGGCTTCATTGGATTAGTTATAGCTTTATTACTTTACATATTTTAAAAATGTAACTTTGCCAAAAATAAAAATTTATTAATTCTAAAGTGATAATTATATATAAGCACATGCTTTAAACAACTTTACTTAGAAGATTAAAGCAGGTTACTTTGATAGAAAAATGATTTAGCTATATACTAAAGGCAAAAATTCATGGTTTTCTATATATAACTTTTTTTCTAATTAAATAATTTGCTTTTATCTTCTAAGTAAAGTTGTTTAGCATAAAATTTTACACCTATATAGTTTATCAGTTTTCATTTTTGTGAACCTTTTACTAAGTGTAAAATGAGGTTAAAGTTAGGAAAAAAAAATGTTTAAAAAAAATTTTTTAGAAAATTTTTTTTCCCTAACTTTAACCTCATTTTACACTTAGTAAAAGGTTCGCAAAAACAAAAACCAGCAAATTATATAATGTAAAATTTTATGCTAAACCACTTTACTTAGAAGATAAAAGCAGATTATTTAAGTAAAAAAAAAAGTTATATATAGAAAAACATGAATTTTTGCTTTTAGTATATAGTTAACTTATTTTTCTATCAAAGTAACCTGCTTTAATCTTATAAGTAAAGTTGTTTAGAGCATGTATTTACATATAATTATCACTTTAGAATTAATAAATTTTTATTTTTGGCAGTTATATTTTTAAAATATATAAAAACAATAGAGCTATAATTAATCTAATAAAGCCAAAAATTTCTTCTTTTCATGCTCTAAATAATTGTAGAATTTAATTTTAAGTTAATATGTAGATCGAAAAACATTATGGCTACAAAATTTATAGTAATTTTATATATTTTTTATTATAATATCATATATAAAAAATTTATATGTAATATAGTATAACAAATCGTGTAACTGATAAGCTAAAAATCAAATAATCAAGTAAAGAATTTTCTAGGTAGACTTTGGAAGAGTTGGATGAAAGAGGTCTATGAGAGAATATAAATTGCAAGATGTAAATTAGTACAGAAATGAGAAAAAGAAAATGGGATCACGCCAAAAGATAAAAGAAAAACTTACGAAAGAAAAAAAAAAAGAAGAAACCACCTAATAAATATATTAAAGAAAAGGAAAAAGATAAAGATGTAGACAAGGATAAAAGGTGGAGTTCAGTTTTAGAGATAACTAAAAATGAGGTTATAAGGTGGATTGAAAAAGAGCAACAGACAGATTGGTAGAAAACTAATATGTAGTCTTAATGGGCGGTAAGATCTAGCTAATGATGTATTATCAAAGCCAATTGCAAAATAAAATAATACAGAAGCGAATCTTACTATAGCAGGTCGCATATAGGTATTCAGTGAGCAACCGGGTGAGTCTTCACTTGTAATTTAGGTACTATAGAATATAGCTCTGTAGAAAATTTTAATAGTTTAGATAATTATTACAAAGCCAAATAAAGTGAAAGCAAGACTGCCGAATTCATTAAAAAAAAAAAAAAAAGACTGATAAGCTAAAAATAGATAATTTTAAAAATTTTTCTGTGATCTTATTTAGTTTTAATTTTAAATCTATAGTTCTTAATACAATATTGTAGCTTATAAAGGATAGCAACTTTCATTATTACACTTTTAGTAATTTATTTGTAAAAATTAAGACTTGTATTAGATGAAAACATATAAAATTTAAGAAAACCTAAAAAAAATTTTTAATAGTAAAAATTATAATACAAGAACTTTAAATTTTGATTGTACTAAAATTTTTTGATAATTTTAAAAAAATTTTATAACAAAGTTATTAAAACAAAACAAAAAATATATTTTTTATTTAGAAAAAATATAGCTAAAATTAATATTTAAGCTTTTATTAAAGAATTTTAAAAAACGCAGACAAATTTGCCTGTGTTACAGACAAAGGGATAACAATACATATAAAATTAAAACAGTTTTTGCAAATAACTCAAACTTATCTATATATTATATTTATCAAAGTAGTAAATAAGTTTGTAACAGAATTTTGTTTATATTAATTTATAATAGAAAATATGTAGACTTATCTTAATCAGAATAGCAAGTCTTGTAATAGAATACTTTCAGTAATATATAAATAAATTATATTACCGTATATTACCAAATAGAAGCTACCCCTCGATTTTGGATCCAAAAATCTGAAAATGGTTACTATGTTTTAATAGTAAAATTAGACCCGAATAGAAGCTACCCCTGCAGTTTAGCCTAAGAAAATCGAAGAAAATCGAAAATTTTTTGGTAGCTTCTATTTGGTAATATACGGTAATTTTAATATAAATAAACTCAACATTATTGTGATCACCAAAATAGTAAGTCTAGTAATGAAATTTTTTAAGTAATACTTAAATTATAATAAAATTTATGACAATTTTAATACAAACTAACTCATCTTAATACTGAAATAGCAAACAACTTCTTTGTAATAAAATTATTTATAGTAACTCATAATAAAATACATAACAAACAAGTTTTATAGTAAAATTTATTAACAACTTGTAATAAAAATTATATTAATTCTAATATAAACTAATTCAAATTTATCTACATACTGTGATCACTAGAATGTAAATACTATCAAACTAGTAAAAAATAAAATAGTAAATAATATACAATATATTCAAGGCTATTACTTTTACTATGTCTAGTTGCTAAAAGTACTGGACTAAACTATATTGGACTTATTAAATTACTATGTCCAGTAGTCTAGTAGTGTAGCACTGGAATATGTTTAGTATAACTCAGTGACAGCTCTGAATATATTGTAGTAAAAGACAATATAGAATAGTTAATTAAAAGTAAAATAAATTAATAAAAAATAAGACAAGAAGTTAGCTATTTAAAAAGAAAATTATATACATAACTTAAAGTGTATATAGATTTTGTCTAAAAAATTTTTGTACTAATTTTTTTTTTTTTAATTTGGCAGTCTTGCCTTAACTGTTTATTAGTACTCTAAGGTATTGTGGTTACAAATATACGTACATATATTTACAACTATCTAATTATTACAAATAAGACTCACCCGGTTACTAACTTAGTACCTATGTGTGACCTGCTATATGAGATTTTACCTCCTTAATAACTGCCCCTTTTGACCAGAACAATTACTAGATCACTGGATGGTTCCAAACCTTATCATATATACCTTGCTATATATACTACTGTACAATGTCTACTAGCCAACTTCTACCCTTCAGTACTTATCACATTACTTCTAATTTGTTTCTTGTACCACTTCCAAATTGGTGTCTCTCGAGTGAGCGCCCTTGATGCTTCCAGTTTGGTATCCTCGAAATGTTACTCTTAAGGGCCTAGTTCGTATCTCAAGCCAGGTACAGGACCTGCTGCTACAACCAGGATGTTATTTCATGGTTCTTAAGCGTTAATGTTATACATCATCAAATTAGGCTACCAATCCTTTTATAGTACTCCCTATTGGTATGGTAATACAGGAGTCTGGATCCTTAGGACGGGAGTTAAGTACTTCATTTAATTACTGTTACAATCCAGTAACCCAGAACTCGCGCCTCTGCCATGTTTCGTCATAGACTCCCATATAGGTTGTGCAACTATTACTCCCTAGCCTGTCTTGATTTTCATACCAATAGATCACCTGCTTCCATACTTTCGGGGTTTCTTTTAGCTGGTTTTCCTTGTTTCCTTGTGTCAGAGGTGTTCTATATTTGGTAAAGCCATCCTTTTACCACAGCCCCTTACTATGTTCACTGCTTCTTTCACTACTTCTGGATATTACCGCATTTAGCCATCCTCCCAATCAAGATTCCAATACCACCTTAGGGTTGTTGGTACTACCTTGCCAATCGTGGATTCACACACACAGCCTTCTGCAGTAATACCTTCTATAACCCATATCACATGCAGTGCCTAGTCTTCTCCATGGCTTGGGGCTCCTTCCAAGAATTCTTTATTGGCCAAATATATACATCACATGGTCTTACTGCTACAAGGTTTCACATTCGAAAGCTTCCGAAGGTTACAGAGATAATTAATTAAATTAATTACCACCAGCTATAATCAAACCATTGACCTTGTCTGTGGAGGGTTAAGCGCTCAGACTACTAGGCTATGAGACCCTAACCTCAAAATTTTTGTACTAATATAGTATAATATTACAAAATAACAAATAATGTATAAAGACTACAAAATAAAGCTCTATTTTAATATAAATTATAATATGAAATCGATAAAAATTTAAGAATTGTACTAATAATATACTATAATTAATACAATATGTAATAGGCTAGTTTATAATAATACAATATAATATAATATACTTTTTTTTTTTTTGGTATTAAGATGAAATCTTGCTTATATTTTTATTGATTAATTTACCTAAGAAATTATATATTAAATATATAAAAACTTAATTTGTATAATAACAAATAAATATAAATTATATTCAAAAATAAAAGCTCAGACTAGAAGTTTAAACTAAAAG